CCTGATGCTTCTTTGTGGATCAAGATACAACAGCCACCTTCTTCATTCTCTTATCAAAATTACATCACTATTTGAATAATGAGTTATTCGAAAGGCTGTATCAGACACCAACTTTCGACATTTCTTTCAAACTTTTCTGCTCTATTTTATCATTTGGAAGTTGATACTTAACTAAATGTATGAATGCAAGGCTGTATCAGTGACTAAACCTCCTTGTTCTTGTTAAGCCACAAAACTTTCATAGATCTCCTGCTACCTTTTGTTATTCATGATTGCTTTTCTCCTGAATGATTAGATTGGTGTCAAGTCCCTGAATTGTCAGTTTCCTTCTGATGCATTAATCTCAGCGTTCTGTTCATTTGATTGTTGGCCAACTATTCGTGATATTGTCAAAAAAAATTACAATTCCTCAAGTTGTGAAGTATAATTTCCATGTATCATTGGTGTCATGCCTTTTCGATGCGTTTTTCTTCCAGGAGTGCCGTCATCGACTCATCGTGAAGTATAGTTTCCACAGCTCATTGTATTTAGTGCAGAAACTAGAGACAGAGACGTGCAGGAGGAAAAGAGGAAGGGGAGGTACAGACTAAGAAACTTTGGAGACTTGTAAAATTAACAGTAATTTAGAGTCATACTCTACAAAAAGAATTTGAGTGACCTACCTTCAAATAAGACTCAAATGTTAGCCTTAAGTAAAGAACTCATTCAAATACGTCTACTCTTACGGGTGATTGAAGTTAATGCAACATGTAGTATTCTATAGAGAAATATCAGGAACTATTTCCCCTCAAAGGCCTTTTCAGTCTACTAAACTTTCATAATGTAATTTATATTTGATGTGTGGTTTGTGAGCTACTGTACAAGCTCGTTATATAAATCTATCAAGCTTGCCAAGTATAATTGATATTTCGTATATAATTTACATCAATTCAATACATGCATGTCATGTGTTAAATTTATAATTCATTTTAATTAATCTTAATTAATTAACATGTGTTTTACTTTATTAAATTACATAATAATGGAGCTTGCATTAATTGGATGTAAACACCCAGTGCAGATAAGTTTTTTCCGAGCGGGTTTACAAGTTTACATTCATGATAGGAGGCCCAAAATTAGGCCCAACTCGGCCCATGTTCCTTCTTTATCCAAAGGATAAGATTACACTCTCTACATTTTCTTCCTCTCTACTTCGCCATTGATACAAAACAACAATGGCAGCGTCTTCTCTCTCCACCTTCTCTTCTCTCTCTCTACGCGCCCCATCTCGCTTTTCTCCTTTTCAATCCCAACCCCACCATACATTCTTCATCCCAAAAACCATCCAGTCACCATTTCATCTCCTCTTAAACCCAACAAAATTCGACCCCATTAAACCAAATTCTACAACTGCTGAAACCACTTTCTTTGACAACACAGACCCAGAGGAGATCTCCACTTATGACCCTCCAGAGCGTCCTGAAGACTTTATAGAACCAGCATCTTTCGATGACGGTCCAATGGAGTCTGAAGAAGAAATTGCAAAAGCGTATGAAGAGCTTTATGGGGCTGCTTATAGCGGAGAGACTTTTCTTGGGAATGACATATATGCAATGGATTCTAAGGTGAAAAAGACTACCTCGTTTGGGAAAACCAAGAAGGAGAAGGCCAAAGATGGGTTTGACGAGAGAGTGGTGCAAGTTAGGAGAGTTACTAAGGTTGTTAAAGGTGGAAAGCAATTGCATTTTAGGGCTGTTGTGGTTGTGGGTGATAAAAAAGGGCAAGTAGGTGTTGGAGTTGGTAAAGCTAAAGAGGTTATTGCTGCAGTGCAAAAGTCTGCTGTTAATGCCAGGAGGAATCTCATTACTGTGCCTATGACTAAGTACTTAACTTTCCCCCACAGGTAAATGGTTAATTGTGTGATGTTCTCATTTTCTGCTATGTGCTTTCTCTAGTTAAGTTTTGGCATTAATGTAGGACATTTGTGTAGTTCTCAGCTAGTTTGGATGCTTGAAAATCTATAAATTGAGCTACATGGTGCGAATTTTGGTTTGTAGACTCTGATCATCACTGTAGAACCAGAAATGCCAAAATTGTCTAGTCAATGTATTTAACCACCAAATCATTTAGTCTTAGTGGTACAGGCAGGAATTGTCTCTACATTTTTCCGGGTCTCTCAGCTACTTCTTATGGTTAATAATTAAGAGTAATAACATAGAGAATACCAATTATATCACTCAGTGCGAGTCCTTCTGCTCTTGCCTACCTAGCATAGTTACTGGAATTTTTTTTTGTGGACTGTAGCAGGTACTTATGAATTAGTTGAGGTGCAGGAATTGCAGACCTCTAATGTCATTAAAAATTATGAGAATTGAGGTCCATTTTATGCATTTGTTCAATTTAATAAGGCTGCAAAAGCTATGAAAGTTCACTCCTCTAAGGTTGAGGTTATGGCTGATCAGTTATCTGTTACCTTTGCCATTTGATTTGTTTCTTAGGATCAAACTGTTGCTAGAGTCGTTGTACTTCGTATAGCGATATGGCAAAGGTAGTATAGTGCCGACAAGTTTGAGTCCTGTGGTGAACCAATCATAGTAAGGTGAAGAAAGGATAGAGGGGAGAGGACATTATCTATGCGCTCAAAGATGCAAAACGACTGATTATTCAGTTAAAAGAAAAAGTAGAGTAGTTCTGCTATCATATATCGATGATGCTGGATAGTTCTTTATTCTTCTTCTTCTTCGTCAAAGGTAGTATAGTGCGGACAAGTTTGAATCCTGTGGTGAACCAATCCTAGTAAGGTGAAGAAGGATAGAGGTGTAAGGGGAGATGACATTATGTATGTCGCTCGAAGATGCAAAAAGACTGATTATTCAGTGAAAAAGAAGTAGAGTAGTTCCATTTCCATATATTAATGATGCTGGATAATTCTTTATTCTTCTTCTTTTGAATAATTTTTGCATAGGTTTTTCATTGTGCCATGGTTTTCTTGTGCAACCAGAAGTTGGCATGATCACAGATTTTCGCTCAGAAAAAGTCACCCATTTTAGTTGTGCCTCTTTACCTTAAACTTAACCAATAAATATAATTACAAAGAATCTTCTAGATCAGTTGTATATGGTTCTTGTAATGGATATACTTGATTGATCTCTATTCAAAAACTTCCTTTATGTGGTTTGACCTTTCCTTTTATGGACTGAGCCTAAGACAAGCAAATATAAAATTTCTATTTACCTGGGAACACTTTTGGAATCTCGCCGCCTCTACTCCTTTCATATATTAAGCCAATTCGTGCACACCTCAACCATGGGTAGGAATTGACCTTGGTGTCCCATGATGTTCACCCACTTCAGTACCGCTAGACAACACCCATGAGGTACAGACTGGAATGCTTGATAAGCTCTATCTTAAGCATTTGAAATTTAATTTTACGTCTTTGTATTATGACAAACCTCTCATGTTGTTGACTCTGTGTCAAAAAATGAGATGTGCACAAGTGTGTGTTATTGGTCTCTGTGTTTGTTTTCATTGAATTAATAGGTGACATAATGTACATGTCCACTATTTCATCTATCTGAGTCCAAAATATGTGAAAAGTCATAAAAATGATTGCTTCTCCTCCTCTTCAACTTTAAGAAAGGATATGCAGTGAAAAAGTAAAAAAGGATTCCCTGGTTGCATCATTAGCTGTTGATGTCTTTTTCTGAGTTTCTTGTCATGGTTATCCTTGCTCCTCTATTGCTAAATCTGGAGGAATGAAATGAGAGGCCTGGAGTGGATGGATACATTTATGTGAGATCATTGTATTTTTTGATCCTCTTTAATTTACTGTTGTCCTAGAGGGATGCACATATTTGCAGCCTTTTGATGAGTAAAATTGATTCGTCTAAAGGATTTACCACATCTTGCCTTGAGGAGATCTTCTTTTAGCATTTGCCTTGCCATGTATTTAGACTGTAGTTGCAAAAAAAATTGATTGAATTATGCAGCTCATTGTGAAAGAATTAGTACCAATGAAGTGGATGATATTCAAATTTCAGTAGAGAAAAAAACTTTAGAAGATTTCTTTATATCTATTTAAGTTTTAGTGGGTAGAGTTACTCGTATGCACGTGTATTAGTTTAAGATAGCTGATGAATAGTCTGCAAGTTGGCGGGGACACCACCATTGTCCAAAAAAGAAGAATCATGTTGATATTGGTATATAAGTTGGGGATCTAACATTTATGAACAACTAAATTGCAGATCTGAGGGAGACTTTGGAGCAGCAAGGGTGATGCTTAGACCAGCAGCCCCTGGTACTGGAGTGATTGCTGGTGGTGCTGTGCGGATCGTTCTTGAAATGGCTGGTGTTGAGAATGCTTTGGGTAAGCAGCTTGGAAGTAACAATGCCCTCAACAATGCAAGAGCCACTGTTGTTGCTGTTCAGCAGATGAGGCAATTCAGTGAAGTTGCTCAAGAACGTGGCATTCCTATGGAAGAACTCTGGAAATGAAGACCTTCCTTTCTTCCTGTTGCTTCGATTTGTATCTTTTAAGATTTTTGTAGAAAAAAAAATGTTTCAACTGGGATAGCTGCAGATGTACCATTTAATTTTTCTGCAAGTGATTATTTGTTAATTATGTAAATTTCAAAATGCAGCCTTCTCAAACAGGTTCTTTCTTCTATAAATTCATAATTTAACACTAGTTGTCTACTTCTCAGCCTGGACCAATTTCACATTACATATTAGAACTGTTCATCCATTTAGTTATTCTATTGTTTCAAACATCATCCATATAGTACCAAAAAAGACCATTTTTAGCACATTTTAACAGTCTGTTCCATCTTTTAAATAAAATCATGCTAAATATGATGATATAATCGGATAGTTATCATTTCGTTCCACTGATGTGATCTTTAAATTAACATGGGGGCACCCTGTACACGTGTCCAGCAGTAGCAATTAAGTGGCACATAAACCTCTAAACGTGTCACTCTCAAGAAACCCCAACCCCCTTCCTTTATGTAAACCAAATTCTCAAGAAAAGTGTGACGAAAAAGAGTTAATTAAAACCTTGAAAATCATGTTGAGTTTTCATTTCATTAACCAAAAAGAAAAAGTGTTGGAAAGGAAGCATCAATGGCATCGTTAAGCAAAAAATCAATCTTCAACCTCTCTAAAGCCTTCCCACATCGAGCCTCCACTGTCTTCATCGGTCGTCAAATATGGAAGGTGAGTCTTCCTACATAAATACTAGATGTACCACTAAATATAATGAACAAGCCATAAATCCACCTAGAATTTGAAATTTATCAAATATTACATACATTAATAATTGAATCCACATTTAATCATAAAAAATATTTAAATTATTGTTTTGTGGCATGAAACTAAACATGCTTAGAATACTACTCATGTATTAAAGGGAGGATATGTTGCTGCAACAGAGGAGCCATCGGAAAAACAGAGCAGGAAGCTGTACGGGACCGATAGTGATGAAACGGGTGGTAAAGTATCTGAAATGGCTGATAAAGCGAAGGAGGTGAAGGATAAAGCTACTAAAACAACTCAAGATGCGTGGAAAGCTATCGAGGATACTGCTGAAGAGTTGAAAGAAAAAGTGGTGGGAAATATAGATCCAGAGAATGTTCAAGAGGAAACTGTGGTGGAAGATGAGAAAGAGCTTAAGAAGAAATTGGCTAAAGAAGCAGGAGGAAAGCCTGTGGATGAAGATAAAGGCTTGAATGTCAATTGGAGACCCATTGTTGAGAAGAAACCACAACCCTCTTGAAAATGATCGTTTTCTCTTTTAGCTTTTTTATTTGTAGTTTTGACTAGTTAAGTACCATGGACTTAATTAGTAGCTAGCTAGCTTTACTTTTGCAAACCACTATGCCTTAGTATGAATGATAGCCAGAATAAGTTTCACACAATATTCAAATCTCAAGACAGTGTCATGCACAATTGTAAAGCCCGAGTGGAGGGTTTTAGCTCTTTTTTTAAAAATAAAAAAACAAAAAAATAATAATAAAATAATATATATATATATATATATTTGATGTATGATGAATCTCAATCCGGATGTACACTTATTTCGTAAGATATAAATGCTGATAAAAAAGTTTTAATTCATCCACTTCATATATATATATATATATATATATGATAAGTTTGATATACGTTTTTGATGTATGATAAATCTCAATCTGGATGTACACTTATTTCGTAAGATATAAATGCTGATAAAAGTTTTTTAATTCGTTCACTTTATAATTAATAAAATTAAAATAATATCGATTTTAATAAATATGTTAATTAAAAATGAATAAATAATTAATAATAAAGAGTACTAAGCAAGTTAATAATTAAAAAAGCCCAAACTCTTGAAGTTCTTGGAAGTTAAAAGCTTAACAATAAGATAAACTCTATTTAGTGTTATATCGTTCTCGCTTTTCTTTAATTTTAAAAAAGGAAAATACGTAAATATCTTTTAATTTATATTCAAATTTTTAGAAATATATTTGTTAAGGTTTTATTACTTTTTTAAATTTATTTTATAAATAACTTTTTATTCTTTTTTGATTTACGTAGCATCAGAATTGAAAAATTATCAACACATACTAGGTCTATAAAATGTCATATAAATAAAAAAGAAATAAAAAATTATTTATAAAATAAATTTGAAGATAATAGAATGTACGTGTCTAATCATGGTACATTTTCCCTTTTTAAAATAATAAGCTAGCTTATAATTTTCTCTGTTTTTTTTTCCAAAATCTGTTTTTGATGAAACAGTTCTCATTAATTAGTTTTTTTTTTTAGTCAATTACTGATTCTTGACTCGGCACGACAGTATATCAGCAATACCACATCTTCAGGCTTCAATTGTATAGTAGTCTTATTATATTTTCATTATAAATAAAAACTAAAATCATTTCAACGTGTAAGAGATATAAAAACATCGCAGAATCGTATTTTTTAATTCTATATGTACAAAAATTATGCGAGAAAAGAAAAATGAAGAAGAGAAAAGCAAAGCACAACTGTGCCAATGAAAAAAAAAAGAGAGAGAGGAAAAAAAAGGTCAATTATATCCCTCGGTAACACCAATCACAATTTGTACGTCGTGTAACAATTTTGAATGCATCCACTATACGTGGCGTTTACAAGACAAACGTGTCATACTCTCACGAGGACACCAATTTTTTCATCCTTTGCAACTCTGTCACTATAACATCAAAGCAAATTACCAAATCATTTCAACTTGTGCAAACTGCAACACAGAAACTGCAACAGATCTCTCACACACACACAGAGAATCGAGCCTAAATTTTGTGATAGCAACAACAATGGCAGCGATGTCAATCACTAAAAACGCCATTTTGAACCTGTCAAAGTCACTTCCTAGAACCTCTTCAATTTTCCTTAGACGCAATGTCTCCTTTTTTTACCCTTCGAAGACGATTCCTCGAACAACATCTCTCGTTATTCGTCACAAAATCTCCCATGTCTGCTTCTCATCTTCCCCTAATCACTCTGAGGTACTCTTTAATTTTTTTTTTCTTCTTTTTGAAATGTATAGTACCAAATGTCTTTTAATTTTATGTTTAAATTGTGTCTTCTTATGCATGTATTAAACCGATGGAATCTATATTCAATAATTAGTACATGTTCTTTTTATACTTTTTAACTTTGGATTTAGATTATACTCCCTTCGTTACGTTCCACGCCTAGTTTGATTTGGCGCAAAGTTTAAGAAAGAAAAATGACAAAAATTTGTGTTATAGTTAAAATTTTATTTAATATAAAAAAGTCTAGTTCTAACTCATATAAATTGAGACAGAGCAATATAAATTGAGACAGAGCAAGTACTATTTATTGCCCTCAACAATATATTTTACATTGATTCTGCGTCTCCAATTTATGTTTCAAGGGAATCCATGCATCGGAGGATTTAAAAAGAAGACAAGACTTCGATAGAGGTGTTAAAGAAGAGAAATCTCCTATGAGAGAGATGGCTGATAAAACGAAAGACGATGTAAAAGAATCCATGGACGAAACTAAGCGTACAGCCAAAGACATGAAAGATAAAACAAAGCAAAGTGCAGAGAACATGAAGGACAAGACAAACGATATGGCTGCAAAGGCAGCCGATAAAGCAAAAGAAGGGAGAGACAAGGCAGCCGAAATGGCACATAACACTAAGGAGAATGCCAAAGAGCGAGCCCACGACATGAAGGAGAAGACCAAAGACACTGCAGAGTCCATGGCTGATAAGACGAGAGACTACGCGCACGATACGAAAGAGGCCACGAAGGAAGGGGCAAGTAAAGTTGCTGAGACAGCACAGGCAATAGCTGATAAAGCTAAGCAAGCAATGCAGGATGCTATGGGAGCGGCGAAAGAGACGGGTCAGAAGATCAAGGAAACTGTTGTTGGTTCAGCGGAGGACGAGAATAAGTCCGTTGATGATTATATCGAAGATCGTACGAGGGAGAAAACTATGGATGAAGATGTGGTGGAGCAGAGGAGGCCTGCAGCAGGGGGTTCAGGTCATTCTAAGAAATTTTGAGGAAAAGAGGAAGTGGAAGTTTGATTTGAATAATTTTAGTGATAAAAGGTTTTTCTTTTGGGCTAATATGTTGCAGGACTTATTTCCTTTTTGCTTATTTTTGTATACAAGTATGAATATTTTCTAATGTCAGGAGTTCTTTTTAGTTGGAAATATCACTTCCATTTTTACAAACATAAATTTTGTGTTAAGAATTTGAAATAGCATCTAAGGTAAGCTGCAATATATAGGAAAGGGAGAAAAGGAAGATTATGGAAGAGGCAAATGGACGTTTAATATTTATTTCTTTTAACGGTGAAATAGGGAATGGGAGATTTATGGAATTATAGAAAATGGACATTAAGATAATTAGATAATTTTCTTGGAAGTTAGTGGGAAAAGGAAGATTATAGAAAGAGGAGAATAGACATTAAGATTATTTTCTTAAAGGTGGAATAGGAGAGGGAAGATTATTGGAAGAGGGAAAAAGAAATTTAAGTTTATTTCCTTTACACTTTTTTTTGGATGGTTGTAATGTATTGCTTCATATATTGTATTCGAATTATATTTGTTTCAACGATCGATAGATTAGATCGTTTGTTATTATATAGTATTGTATTTTAATGAATGATAGAAAATGTTAAGGATAGTGATGTGATTTAATTAGTTGTTATATAAAATGTGTTCTTTTTTTATGTACCTAATAATGAACTTGAATGATATAAAATAATAGAATTTAAATAAAAATAAATATTATATTTAATTTAACAACAAAATATAACTATCCAAACAAAGAGTTGAGAAATTGCAATTTGGGTCCAACTTCGATAGGTTTATTCACCTAAGCTCCAAGTAAAATTCATACGAATTTGTATTTTCGTAGGTTATGAACTATCGATATCGATATATTGGTTGTAACTTGTGAAGCAGGAGCAGAGCTACAACTAATAAAGGGTGCGCAAGTGAGCACCCTTTGTCTCGAAAAGTTATATCGTACTTACGAAATAAATTTACGATATTTTTAATATATATTTGGGTTTGCACACACTTGTGTAATTATAGGAGTTGGCTCAATGATAAAATGAGTGTTGAAAGTGCGGAGCTGAAGGTTGAGGGTTCGTATGATCCCTTCAAATATTTTTAAACATTTTTATTAGTTAAAATTCACATCACTTCAAATGTTTTTAAACATTTTTATTAGTTAAAATTCACATCAAAAAGTACTTTTTAAAATTATAAACACTTTTTATATAATGTCCGGCTCCGCCTATCTTTCAGAAAAAATTGAAGATAGGCCCAGTAGTGTTGGGCCTTAACAAAATGTTGCAGCGACATCAAAGTGCGTTTGGAAATGATAAATTTTACTTATTCTTTTTAGTTAATTTAATAATCATGTGATAACCAAAAAATAATTTAGACTTCAACATTTAACCGCTGGTGCTATCCAAGCAGGGGCTATTATATTCAATTAGCAACCTCTACAAATAGTTATTATCCACGTCTAGGAATAGCATAGTTACTTATAAATAAATATATAAATATATATGATTCATTGAAGATACGGCGTAGGCATATAAATATATATTATTTATAACTGGAAGAGTAGGTTTATTTCAATTTATATTTTCTCACAACATATGTAAATAAGGAGTATGGGCTTAATTTGTATGGTTTGGGGGCAGTTGTAACTTCCATTGGCTTAATTCTAGCACCACATCCATAGCTCCTCCGACAATAAAGCTATGCATTATGTCACGTGCCTCACCTAAGTGCCATATCGATATCGATATCAATTTAAATTTGTATGAATCGTTAATTCGTCTAATTTATTATAAATTCGATACATTTTGATACATCTAGCTAAAAGTTGAGTCTATATATAACTCAAAGTTATTTCATGAGAATTTGGACAAAAGATTTCTTATGACTGATGTATTATATAGTAATAACAATAATAATTACAAATAACTAGAATTTAGTAGATAACAAATTATACATACAGATGATAAAACTAAAACTTAGTGTGAATTGAGCTGGTTATACATGTATTAGCTTGAGTAAACATACATTCAGCTCAATCCGTACACTTAACCTCCTTAGCTAATTAATCGAATTACGTGTAAGTTAGCATCCGCTTCTGTTTCGTTTTATGAATATAAATTTAAATGGCTCAAGGGCAAAAAATTGAGGAATATAATGTTATTTTTTTCCAGGGAAATATTATGTTATTAACTTATTCAATTTGAGTTTAAACTGTGTTTATATAATTTAATTATTATTATTTTTGAAATAATAAGGTCCTTCTGTATGTTATCTGTGATTAACTTACTGCTAAATATACCCTTGAAATTACATGAAAAGGTTTTTTTTCAGAATTATATTATAAATATTACTTTAAGAAAAATAATTTACTTTATGTTCTGATACCCGATCAGAACAAACTGTAGCTGAAATATTCAAAGCTTAAGATATAATAAATTTATCAAATCTTTACTGAAACATCTTAAAACACATAGCTAAGGAACTCTCAAATGAGAAAAGAGGGAAACCCTTTTCCAAGTTATTAACAAGAGAAAAGTATTGAATCATTCAATTGTCTTAAAAACATGTATTTGATTAATTAGATTTCAAATACGTTATCAATCTGACAATATAAGTAAAATCTATCTTTTAAATTCTCGTTAAATTTAAAAGTACTTTCCAGCACATTCTCAACTTTTTATAAATTTGAAGTCACTTATTATTATGTTATTATCATGTAATAAATCAATAATATATCCACGTTAAGCTAGTTATCATAAGACATATTTTATCAATAAATACAAAAATAAAACTAATAATTTGCGTGAAATAAATTGAGTTGCCTTAGGGTAATTTATGTCAAGTCAATCGAGTTGCCAATTTCGGTGTAAATAATCTTATGAACCATGGACGTGGGTCTGTTACTTTTTAATAAAGCATGAACATGACAGAGTTACAAGTGTGTGTGTGAGAGAGAGAGAAAGAGAATGAAATAAAAAAATTAAAGTGGAGAATAAAAAATGACTAATAAGCTGACACAGCTAACACAAAACCCATTTGATATAACAATTAACCGCCAGATCCTCCACCTCCTGCCGCCCTCTCTCCGCCGGCGCCGGCGCCGCCTCAAAATTCCTCCCCTAGTGGTCCACATACTCCTATTGCTACTGTACTTGTCCATAATTAAAATTCGCAAAACTAATTTGTCGTTATTAGGGGAAATTCTTGTCTGCTCAGAAGTTTGTTGAACTGAAAATTATGGCTTCTTTCCTTTATTTGTTGAGACGAGATTGAACACAGACGCAACAGAAACACAACATAAACCATACCTCTTCGTTCGGTCCCATCTCACTATTCTCTGAACATTCATATGTAGCCACGCACGCCTCTTACCCCACCCCCTTTAACCCACCCTACCCCAACCCAACTCTTTTTTTTTTCCTTCTAAACTTGTCTAAGCTACTAGTAAAACATTGTCTTTGTGTAAACTGACTATTTTTTTTTACTGAAGATTAACCATAAAAAGGCAGGCAGGTGGTGGTAGTTATTATTTATTTCCTTATATATGTCTTTTTTTTAACTCTATTTTCCTCATTTACAAAAGGGTAATTATCTACTAGTTGGATTTTTATAGAAATTCTCATGCTCTTCAATTTTTAGTTCCTTATATATATGATTAGATAATCTCAAAGGAAGGATTGACCGTATAAACGTTGACGAGAAGTTTGAGATTTAATTACAATCATATCTCTAGGGACTGAAGGGGTTGACTTGCATGTGTGTGCATTTACTTAATCTGAATTTGTGATTTGTGGAAGAAGAGAAGTTTCACTATAAAAACTGATTGAAATAAGTTTCTTTTCTCAATCAAGGAAAAAGTGGAAAAGAGTGAGATGGAGGATCAATTAGGTGGAAGATCATCGGGAGAGAATGATCGGAATCAGCAGCAAAGAAGAATGAAGATGCCGGAAAACAACTCAGCTTCGCCAGCACAACCACCACCGCAGAAATGCCCTCGTTGTGATTCAAACAATACCAAGTTTTGCTACTACAATAATTACAGTTTGACTCAGCCTCGCTATTTCTGCAAGACGTGTAGGAGGTACTGGACTCAAGGTGGAACCCTAAGGAACGTCCCCGTCGGCGGTGGTTGCCGTAAAGGTAAACGCACAATGAAGGGCGGCGGTTCATCTTCATCAGCTGGTGAAAGTTCATCATCTAGATCTCATCATCAAGTACTATATCCGCCGCAGATACCGAATTTATCAGCTGCTGCAGCTGCTTTTTTCTCAGGTAACAATTCGAGATCTCAACCGCCACCACTTCCGTCAATGAGTTCTCTGTATACCGGTGCTGCTGGTGGTGGGGGATTTTTATCTTCTTTAGCTGCCATGCAATCAATGAGTCAATTATCCCAAGGTATCAATAATCAATCTCAGCTAGGAGTAATTTCAGGCACCAATAATAATAACAACCAATTTGGTAATTTCAATATTCCAACTCCTCCTCCTAAGGTTCAAATTGATCAACAAATGGAGAGTACTGGATTTTACCAAAAGCCCAATTTGGAATCATCATTTTTCCCATCTGATCAAACGTTGCAGTTTCAACCTGCAAGGCCTTTGGGTTCATGGACACAAAGGTTCATCAACAACAACAATAATAATATTTGGCCAAATAACTCAGCCAGTAACACTAGCAGCGGAGCTGCTAGTAGCTCCGCTGCTAATGCATCTCTTGGTCCGAATGATCATCAGTGGCCTGATCTTCCAGGGTTCGGCCCATCTCCATGAGATTTAAGGTTTCTTCAATGAGAGAAACTTTTCAATGGTAATTAATCTCTGCGTTTTTTTAGTAAAACGCAGAAAATATAATACAAAGAGACATGAAGGGGAAAAAGGGAGTTAACCTTAGCCTAGCTAGCTAAAATTATTGTATGATGTATTTACCTTCTTATAGAGAAATTCTGGATTGGGTTAGGTTTGTATTTTTCAAACTTTTAATCTAAAAAGTTAAATGTGTTTGTATGTTATTAGAGCCTTATCTTTTTTGTTGCTTTAATTCAGCTTTATTAATGTTTAACTCTATCAGTTACGTAGTTCGAAAAGCAAGAAGAAGAAAAAAAACACTTTCTTTTTGCTTTGTTATATTTTTAGGGTTTATAGAGTATGAAAAAGTCTACAAAAAGGAAACAACCATATATATAAAGAGAGAATGTTAGTATTTGCATGGAGCTGATGAGAGATTGGTGGTGAGCTCATCTCTTTGGCAAAAAAGTGATATAGACAACTTGGCTCCTCTCTGCCTTTTCTGCATGTGCCCTCCTAAACCTTCATTTATTTTATTTTTCCATTCAAATTAATCATATATAAGTGTGTGACAGAATTAAATTTAAATCTTGAATTCGCGTTTACTCTCACCACCTCACACGAACCAGCACTATAAAACGCCTCTTTTATGTAGAAGCTGTGGAGGGGTAGGTTGCTAATTCCATCTAGAACATATATATGTAAATGAACTTGCATGCATGATCATTTTAATTTGTTGATATATTACAAGACTTAATGGACTATTCAATGGAATGATTTAGGAGTTCTATTAATGTGGCAACGGGCAAGTTTCAATTCCTAAAGTTCTTTAGCTTGGGCTACTATATATATATATTGTGCATTAATTTGAGATATTAATTAGCATATGCCCTAGCCTAACTAGTTACATATACAGTAGTTAATATATAAGGAGTAACAGTTGTACTGGTTTGAATATTTAATTCATAATGACATGATGAATTGAAAGCAACACGCACACATTCCCTTTTGAAATCATCAAATGGATTTGGTAGATGGGGGGAGAGGGTGGGCATACCTGAACCAAAAATTAAAGTTGGACACGTCAGTTATGCACCTTTGAGTTTTTTATTTTTCAAAAAAATAAATATTAGAGTACTCTTTTGTTTCAAACTTATCTGGTTTTTGACTTGACACTAATTTTAACAAAGTAATGTTACTAAATTAAATTGAGAAAAAATATTGAAAAAATCTATGAACTATTATACATGTTATAGAGATATTTGTCGTCATACTTTTGGGACATTGATACCTCTGTTGTTCAAAAACTAGAGCATGTATGTCCTTCACTCAAACAGTAGACTTAATAGGGACAAGCTGACACAATTTTATTCGTTGACCCGATATTTAATAAATATCAGATCGATGGATAAGGTTATTACACGTGTATGTCTGTTAGTATAAATGATATATATGTTTTAATTTTTTGAATGGCAGAGACACCAATATTTCAAAAGTATGACAAAAAGTATCGAAATATCATTTACGATAGTTCAAGGTTTTATCTAATTTTTTTTCTCGATTAATCTTTAAAAAAAAGCATTGAAGTTGAAAATTTGTAAAGATGAGATGAAGAGAATACTAGTATTTAAAAGCACATTAGGTTAAATTAATAAAGTTAGTTAGAAGTACATGATGAATAAAGAAAGATAAAGTAATTTAATTTAGGGCTGCGGTTTTCGAGCAAAGGCATATCTTTGGTCTGCCATGGGTTTAGATCTTCATCAGAGAATATTGGCAGGTTGGAAATGAAAATCTCTTGGGTCTAATTAGACTTCTTTCCTATGGGATGATCAAATCTGTTGGGAGAATAACAATTTTATTTATTATTTTAGTTTTACGTTTAATATTATATTATATTAAAGCAAAAAGGAATTCTCTGACTAATCACTATGGTTTCCTCCTATTCGAGGATGATTATATATAAATAAACTTGGTCATTATACTTTCTAATGCAAACATATTACTCCTTTTAATAATCGATCTTATGCATTTCTTATTATATTATTTTCTCTATTAAATATTTACTTTATTGATTTATTGTTAGTATTAGAAAACAATCACTATACTAAGGATAAAATGGATAAAAATAATTAACATCTTCTTGAACTATTGAAATGACAAATAACTGGAGACAATATTTTTAAAAATTAGGATAAAATATAATATTAGATGAAGGAAATAATTAAGCTTTTTGTTTATCAAAGTTATAAAAAATAAAATTATTTGATATTTATACTTATAAAACATAAGAAATATATATAATAAGAATAATTTCAATACACCACCTAACTCGAACACTAAAATAATGATAATTTTTATTCGTAAGAAGTAGGATACTCCACTATTTGAGGATCCTATAATTAATTTGCATGATGGTACTACAGAAAATACTCCACTAGCTGTTAAATTTGATTAAACAAGAAGTTTGGAATATTTTAGATATTTGTAGGTTTTAGAGACGGCAATACTAGCTTCGAAAATATAACTTGTCCTTTGATAGGTTTTTGATTCTTTCATATTTTAATTTAGTATATTTTAATTAATCAAAAGTTAGATTGATTATAGTTCAAATTGGCTCATAAATTTTTTGTCACTTTTTTTAATAAAATATTTTTTAATTTGATATGTTATATATCGTCATAATAAAAAAATATTAAAAAAATAAAAAATAAATAAACAAAGCAAATAAAACTTAATAAAAATTGAATGAGTTGTTATGATCAACAATTCAGCCTAAGTTATTTTTAAATGTGTCAATAACTCGTTCATTATTAAATCAATTAATTTTGATGGTTCTAAATTTTACCCAAACCATCAATATTTACCTTCAACATGAAATAAATAAATTCGTGGATAAAATAATTGAAAATTAAATTGATTGGATGTGTTTAAATTGGAAGACAATTTTTTCAGAGGTTCATGAGGAATCTTAGCAGCTCAATTGTAGAAACTAAATAGTTTAGTTAGTCGACTACCTAGATTTTTACCTTGTTAATAAATAGTAAGAGTTTGATTATCTATCTTTTTTATCCCTTTTCTATTATCCCTTCATCTTCCTCTAATTTTTTTTATTTAAAAAAAAATAAAAAAATCTAGCATATAAGGTACAAGTTGGGTATAATTCACTAATTTAATTTGGTTTAAATCCTATATATTTTTGGATAAAAGTTCACTCAAGAAAGATGTACCTATAAATTAATATATGTCTAGAATTCACACATTTTAAAATTTGAGTCTGTTATTTTAATTAAGTTTTATAATGGAATAACAGTCATTATTAATATTAAAAAATTCACAAAATTGATTGCTACGAGTTCTAAACTTCTGATGCAACTATAAATGAGATGTCTAAAAGAGTAAACGTTTATAAATGCTGCTTCTCTGTCGAAGTCAAACTGCCACATAATGAAATAAACATAATAGATTGTATTAAAGTTAGTTAATTAATTAATATAAAGTATCACAGCAAGTCATAAATTTAAATGTAAAATTTAAAATTTTGAGAAAAATGTGTAAAATGTACTCTCTCCGTCTGGAAATATTTGTCATGTTGTATTTATCGAAAGTTAAATTGACTAATTTTTAAAGGTAAATTAAATTACAATAATTTGATATTTTAAATAAAAAAATTAGATATTCTAAAATTATATGAAAAGTACTATAAATTACAATTTTTTTCATATTAATATGATGAAAAAATGCATCTTAAAATGTTATTCAAAGTTTTTATAGTTTGACTCTAAAAATAAAACCATGACAAATAATAACGAACGGAGATTTCTATTTTAAGTAAATAATTTGGAACAAATTAAGTACTCCCTCTATTTGGTTTTACTTGGGTCCTATACAAAATTTGATGTTTTATTTTGCTGGTTGATTTCAGCAACTTAAGAGACCTTTATCACATTATTTTTTTCATATTATATCCTCATTATTAAAAATTAACATAGTAATAGTTAGGTTTGAAGTTTCAAAATATTACTAAGAAAATAAAATATATTTCTAATTAAAATTTTTTTAAGAAATATATTATCTCAACGGGACCAAGTAAAATAAAATGGAGGAAATATTTCACTATCGTTATTGCCACGTGAATATGAGTATATGCAAATGCACTTTGCACTCTAACAGACTGGAAGCAAATGGTTACTCCGAAATTTAACTAATGTTTCTCTTTATGCAAAGATAATCGTACTTTTAATTGCTTGTTTAAAAAAATTAAGTTTAAACGTCATCGTTTTACTAATAAAATTGATTGGTTCTCCGCAAGGAACACTCTTTGGTACACTTAACTTAAGAGACATGACGATCAAAAGGTGTACTGACATATTTAAATCGATCCTCTTTTTTTAATCGAAAATTTCGAGCTCGAACGAAGAAAATAAAAGCATTAACATAGTTTTAGTGATTATTAATCCTAAGATTATACTTTTCCTACATCTTAATTGTTGATTAGTTTTTTTAGTAAGCTATAACTGATTAGAGCTAGTGAATATTAGCAATATAAGAATTAGTTACGAAGGACCTTATGTATTATGTTACATGGATATTAGTTATTCGAAGGTTATACGTGTATAAATGTACTTTAGTTATGCAAGATTATACATGTATTAATTATCTCAATTTTTTAAATTTGTGTACTAAATATTATATTAATTTTACATACAAATAATTTACTTTCTATCCATCAATCTATCAAACGTCACAAGAATTATCTAAAGTTAAATAATATATAAATAACTTATTTCTTATCTAATTAGTGAATAACCTCTAATTGTGCACTAACAAAAAAGAATAGTTTGGAAACAGAAATTTCAAGAGGTGGGAATTGAAGAGACGTGAAAGGGACAAGGTCTATCAGGTCTAAAGAATCTATCTATCTTGAGTGGAAATTAATTTAGAGGTGAAAGGGGCATGGTGTGAGACTTGGAGGGTCCCATATAAAAATATATGATAATCCATAACAATCTTGAGATGGGTGTGGAGTAGAATCATATTACACGATTCAATTTATTTATTTTATTGAATATAAAAAATAACAATTTATATAAAACTATTAAATATAAATATTTTTAATTTAAATAAATAAATTATATTTTTTTTCACCTACAAGGAAAAAAAGAAAAGCACAAGTGTAAGGGATCAAGTGACAGATGCATGCAAGAATAATAATCCATTGTGTGGCTTTATTGA